CATAATAATATCGAAGCAAACGTCCACCATTCAAAGGCGATCTGTCATGTGGTGGGTGGTGGCGGTGGTGCTGGTTGAGGCTGGCAATGGATGGACGGTTGGTTGGCTCTGTTTGTTTGGTAGGTTTAAATAGATGGACAGATTTTTGTGCGACACATAATCTTGACACAATGTTTATTTTCTTGTTTTGTCGACGTCGTCGGACAACACAACGCCACATGGCAGAACGGCGAAAATTGTTAGTGACAATGAGAATAGAAAGTTGAAAAAAACATCAAATACTAAATTACGCGCAAAAATGAAATATTTGCGCAAAAACAAAAAGCAAAAAAATCTGTCAAATTTTTGGAGGGGAAAATATTTTTAAGGTTTACCTTAAGGTGTGGATTTTTTAAAAATATTTTTAGGGTCCACTTTAAGTCGTGAATTTTTTTAATACAATATTGTTTAACCCCTATTACATATAGGTAAATTATAGGATAGAATAAAATCGAAAATAGACTCACCTCGTTTGTTAGTGTGCTTGCTAGCCCATTGGACATTAAGAGCGTTTCCGTCGCATCCCAGGATGACGTTGCAGGTGCTCGTCATTTCGTCAAGCATCTTTCGGACACTAGGGTTAGGTGCATCCAGTCCTCAAAAGGCATGTAGACTGAGGAGATCAGAGTGGCCATCCCCGTCGAATGCTCCAGCCTTACTGTGCACAGATTAGATTTAAACTCTTTTACCTCATATACCGACCCTTGTCCACCATGGACGCCGCAAATATGTCACAGTTGGCATCATTCCTTAACCCAGAAACCATATTTTTATAAATATGTGGCTCCTGAATTAAGGCGATGTCCACTTCAGAGTTCGCGAGGGACAGGAGTAGTTCGGCGGCTACGGTCTTGCAATGATGCAGATTAATCTGCAGGATGCGCAGCTATTGCCGCTTCCCTACTCCTATTGAGTTTTGGTGGACGTGTTCAGTCGAAACTGAACCCATCCTAAAACGAAGTTCAATTTTCCCTCACGCTCCCTGAAATATCCCTCCCCCGGTGGGTCAACTGCTACCCTTGCCAATATCCCTCCATCCTCGTCGTTGCATGGAGCTAATATGACAACAGTCCAGGTCGATGTATTGAGGCTGGGAGTTTGCAGTGCCAATATTTTCAGCAGGTATTCCTCGTCCACTGAAGGTGGAGGAACCCAGGCTGAGAGGAGCCCTCTGGTTGGGATCTCAGATAGGAAGAAGACCGCACCAAGGTTGGCTCCTTCTCAGAGTGCACCAAAGCCGCCAACAGTTTTCACAAGGAAATTCTTAGATTTCTTGTTCAGGCAGTTGATGACTTTGGCGCCCTTCTGCATGAAGGCATTGCCAAACTGACATCCCCCTGGTCCGACCCACAGACACAGATAGCCGACCGAAGGGCTCCTTCAAAGAGCAACCAATGACTATCACACTAATCCTGCCATGAGGATCAGATTTGTCAATGATTTGCCACTTGAAGGTCTTCCTCAGCAGCTACCTTGGTCGGTCTGTCATATGGTTTCCGCTGTCTCTGACTACGAACCTTGGAGTTTGCCTTTCCAGAGGAGGTTGATGCCTTCTCTGTACTAGGCTTTTTCTCCGCCCTTTGTTGTCCAGCGACAGCCGCATATGTGGTAGATGGGTCAGCCAGACGCGAAGTTATCGTCTTCTTAGGTGAAGGTTGCGGACCTTTTGATGAGCGGATGCCGCCCACACAGATTTGTTCTGTGGGCGGCATTAGCTCTCCCCCGGGAAACGATGGTTCCTTGCCGGACTTTCCCTTCTTTCTACTCCGACCACTGGTGGATCCACCCAAAGCTTTAGCACCACCAACCGCTTCACGTTGGTCGCTAGGCGTAAAATTTGGCTTTGATAAAGAGCTCTCCACACGTTCATCTCCCTTATGAGTGACATTTTGTTTCGGGATTTTCTCAGTAGCCTTTTCCTTTGCCTTTTGACTAGGTTTAGGCTTCGAGCTAAGCTTCAGATCAGAAGTCGGCTTAGCACCTTTGTCAGAGACACAGTGTGTTTCGCCGATTCCACTGCTTCGCTCGATTTAGAGGTCTCCTCGGAAGTTCTTAATCGAGCAGTAGAATTCTGAAGATCACGATGGAGATCGTTCGGATAGATTCTTTCGAACTTCCTCACTCGAATCTCATCTTGCCCTTGATGAAGTGGACCTCTCCTCCGAAATCAAATTCGCGTCTCGCCCTACGAATTTGCGGAGATACGAAATAGCGCTTCGCGCTTCGCATCAGCTAGTTTTCGGGGCCTTCCCAACATTTGAGCCGCTGTCCGTTACTGGGGTCTCGACAAATTCCCCCATCGTCGGACATCGCCTACGTCGCAGATTGCCTTTTTTACTTAGCTTGCTTGTTACAGAACGCTTGTTCCATAAGCCAAGCTTAAAAAAGATTTCCAAGCGCGTTGGTCTTGTGCGCAAATCCACCAATTTTGAAGACCACGTTCCAAGATGTTGTTTTCTACTTCGTCTTTCCATCTAATTCGTGGCCTTCCCCGTCAACGGGAACAGTAGGCTCGTTTTATATGCCTTTTGAGCTGGGACATTATCATTCATGCGCACAACATGGCCTAGCCACCGTAGTCGCTGCAGCTCAATACGACTGACTATGTCGATGTCCGCGTATAAATTGTAAAGCTCGTGGTTCATTCGACGCCGATATTCGCAGAGTGCCATTTCTGTTCACCTTTGTGTCTCGTATGACCTTTTCCAGCAGGATGTTAAAAAGATCACACGACAAACTGTCACCTTGTCTGAATCTTCGTTTGGTATTAAAGGGCTCCGATAGGTCCTTTCCTACTTTAACTGCTGACCTTGTGCCACTTAAAGTTATCCTGCATAGCCGTATTAATTTTGTAGGTATGCCGAACGTAGACATGGCTTTAAACACCTCTGAACGAATAGGGCTGTCGAATGCGGCTTTATAGTCGACAAATAGGTGGTATGTGTCGATGTGTTTTTCGTGGGTCTTTTCCAGGAGTTGACGTAGGGGATGATAGATACCAAGCAACGGCTCTGACTGGCTTTAACATGGCGAAGTCCAGGCTTATCTTGGTCCCTCTTTCATCTCAATTGTGGACACTGACCTCCCCGCGGTGCCACCTGGGGAGCTATTCTCATCACCCGATGAAATAGTGAGTTAATATGTGCCGCGATAACTATAAAAAAATGGGTTGAGACGTCGGGTTAGTTGCCCACTCTCGGAAAACCCAACCTACTATGGAAAAGCTAAGAAAAATAATACCAAACCCCCCTAATGTCGCAAATTGCCTCTGAAGTTTATTTTCGGCAATTGCCGACACCGGACCTGTTGATGTCAGAATTGAAGTCGGTCGGTTAACAGGTTCTACGCTTCCTTCGCTTATGCTTATGCTACAAAAATCCGCCTGTATAGACCTGGCTGGGATCACCGTGCTGTCCAGCTCATCATCAGATTAGTAGCAGTTCCTGAGATTTAGTAACAGTTCCTCCGGAAGCCTATTCCCGCATTGCTCTTCCGGTATGAGTCTGTCGAAGATTTCCTTACTTTGCTCCTCTAAACTATCGCCAATAGCGTTAAGAGTCCTGCGTATATATATTTTTATAAATATTTATTTTTATTTAATTTTTTAATATCTGTTTTTTTTTCTCTTCCAGGGGGAAAAAGTCCGTAGCGAAAGTTTGACAAGGAAATCAAAACGTTCGCGAAGGCGTTTAAAAGTCAGACGAAGAAACTGCAAGTTTAAGAAGGAAAATCATAACAACAACAACAAGAACAACCATTACGACAACCCATCAGCTGAAGAAAAGCAAGCAGAATATAAACCAAGCTAAACGTATTGGGAAAATACGCCAGAAATTTTCAGAAAGAAATTAAAGGATAAAAGGATAAATCCACAACAACAACATTCAAATCCATATCAGCCAACAGCAGTTTCCATTTGAAAAAGAGAAACGAAATTTGAAAATTCAAACAACGCCAACGAAAAATCATCACGTTGAATAATCCTTTATCCTCGAACTCCTACTCCTCCTCATCAAAATAAAAACAACAACAACAACCACATTACAAAACATAGAACAGGGATCTTAAATTGTAAAAAAAACAACCGAGAAGAAGAAGAAAAGAAAAGTGAATATTTTTTGAAATAATTTTTTCTAAAAAAAAAAAACAAAAACAAAACCCAAAAACAACAAACATTTTGTCTTAAAATTTATTTGTGATAATTTTTAAGCTTAGAAAAAAAAACAACAACAACAAAGTTAAACTTATCCTAAAATTACGAACTTAACAACAAAAACAAAATATTCAAGTACTTAAGAAAAAAAATAATTTTTTGCTTAAAAATACTTCATTGTAAAAAATTAACGCTTTACTTAACAAACATTTTTTTCAAAAAAATTGTAAAATTTTGAAAAAAAAAACTGAATTGAAAATTTATAACACATACAGACACAATCTTCCGTTATAGTTTAGAAACAAAATATTGTAAAGTCAGACCGTCTTAAACAAATTTTTTTGTAAAACATAACCCCAAAATTTTTTTGTTAAAAAAACTGATATAACCTCAATTATTTCAAAGAACTTAGTTTCAAAAAGACAACAACTCTTAAAAAAAGAAAAACGCTACAAACCTCCCTTTTTTAAAAAAAAATATTATATTTTCCTTTAATTTTGTAATTGAAAAAAAACCCAACAGTCTTAAACAAAATTACTTAATTATTGTATAACAAAAACAACAACAACTATTTCTACGAATTATATACTTACAAAAACAAAAACATACTTACCTATCTATCTATATACTAATAGAGAAAAAGAGACAGCAATTTAAATTCAAACAAACAAAACAAGTCCAATTTTTTCCGGTATATTTGTATAGAAATTCTATTGAAAAAAAAAAAAACAACAACAACAACAGAAAAATAAGTTTGTAAAAGTTTACATTTTTTATTATTATTATAAAAAAAGAAAACACTTATTTGTTTATTATTATTATAATTATATAAGAAGACAAATTGTATTTTGATATTATTAATGAGCAACATGCGTCAAAAGGATTTACGCCCCGCACCAGCTCTTATTGAGTTTAAGGGAATGAAGTTCCTAATCACTGATCGGCCATCAGATGTTACCATACATCATTATATTATGGTGAGTATGAAAAAATGAAATACCGATGTGTGTGTGTCCTTAGTAATATAAAATTTTATTTCTCTTCCTAGAGAGTCATTGTGGGACAAAAAAGAACCATTCAAGTGTGGCAAATTGTGAAATTTCGTCGCCGTGTAATTGGTGTTTCGCTGTTGAAAAATAAAATTTTTAGTCAAAAAGAGAAGAATTTTTAAATACTCACGAGAATAGAGACTGATGACCAGGCATAGAACAGATCGAATATTTCAATTCAATTCAAGTTATTTCATAAACGAGAGCCTAGCCCAAAGGGCCATGAGCGATTCCAAAAACTTCATTACATGGACTACATTTTCTGGAAACTAACAACATGCCCTTCCGTGTAATAGTCGAAAGGCCTGAAAAAATCCACGCCATGTCGTCGTGGTCATTGAAAAAATACCCCGTCCTGTTTATGGCCTTGAAAAAACAAACTTTATAGTCGTACGGGGCCGACCATACGATACCCTACGCAACTATCACGGAACTTTAACTTTCTGCGGATTTTTATTCCGTACCTGGGCAATTTATCGAGATAGTATCAACCTCTTGTCCGATGAGAGGTCAACTGCACCTCTTCCTTACACTGACTTATTTTCCGAATATTACTAATATTCAGTACAGTCTTTCTAATTACTTGTCCATATTCTCTTCACCGTGGGTTGTGTTGTGATGTTCTACTTATAATTGTGGCCTATAGATCAACTCGTAAAAACAAAAAAAAAGGTCAACCACTCCTCTTGGATATACTTTCAACTTCTCGGGACTATGTCCTTCAAATTTTGTAATTTTTCACACAAAAGTCAGGGTACATTTGACCCGCTAAATATTGACCGATCTTTATCAAAACAAGTATGCTTATTCGTTGGTCCGATCCCCTTCTCCATGTAAAAATTCGAGATGTTTGGGGCATAATTGCGGCCTCTGGAGCGACCAGAAAAACCAACAAAAATTAAGTATTTGGTCCATTTCATCCCCTAAATATTAACCGAATAGGGCTCTTCATTGGTCCATTCTACATGCAAAATTTCGTGAAGATTGGTCCATAACTGTGGCCTGTATCGTGTTTACAAATTGTAATGGACAGACGGACGGACGGACACACATGTCTAGATCGACTCAGCTAGTCGAGATATGACGATCGGTATACCTAAAGGTGGGTCTAGGATGAATATTTCGCGGCGTTACAAACTTTTGGGCTGCACAAACCTATTATACCCTGACAACATAGTTGTGTAGGGTATAAAAATGCAACGCCTTATAGACCAAAACAAGTCGTGGATTTTATAGAAATAATTTTTCAAGGGTGCAACAAAGGCGTGGATTTTATAAAAATATTTTTTTCGACGGTTTACCAAAGACGTGGACTATTATACCCTTCACCACACTGTGGTACAGGGCATTATGTCTTTGTGCATATGTTTGTAACAGGCAAAAGGACTTGAGCTAGACCCTTGGTCCCTTTTGAGAATATGCATAGAATCACTCTCTGAGTCGTTTTATGACTTTCTGAGTCAGATTTCGATATAGTTCCCATATATAGTTTCGAACGATTTTATGTAAATGGTGCAACAATTTCCTAATATTTGTCCGATTGAGACAAAATCTTGCACAGCGTTCTGAATTAGGTACAGATTGATGTATCCAATGTTTTGTTGAAATCGATTCAGATTTAGATATAGCTCCCATATATAGTTACGTCCGATTTTATGTAAATGGTGCACCAAACTCCCAATATTGGTCCGATTGAGGCAACATTTTGCACAGCGTTCTGAATTAGGTCTAGATTGATATATACCAAGTTTTGTTGAAATCGGTTCAGATTTCGATATAGTTCCCATATATAGTTTAGTCCGGTTTTATGTAAATGTTGCACCAAACTCCCAATATTGGTCCGATTGAGACAACATTTTGCACAGAGTACTGAATTAGGTTCAGATTGATGTATGCAATGTTTTGTTGAAATCGGTTCAGATTTCGATATAGCTCCCATATATAGTTTCGACCGATTTTATGTAAATGGTGCAACAATTTCCTAATATTGGTTCGATGAAGACAAAATTTTGCCAAGTTTTGTTGAAATCGGTCCAGATTGCGATATAGCTCCCTTACTGTCAATGTCCGATTGAGACAAAATTTTCCATAGCGGTTGGTATTTGTTGTTTTTACTTAGCTGGCTTGTGACAGAACTTCCTTTCCATAAGCCGATCTTAGAAAAGATTCCCAGGCGCGCCGGTCTTTTGCGCAGTTTTTCCAATTTGAAAGACCATTTTCGATATTGTCTTCGACTTGATCTTTCCGACGTATTCTTGGCCTTCCCCTTCTGCGTGAACCATCAGCTGGTTCGCTTTTATATGCCTTCTGGGCTGGGCATCTTCATCCATTCTCACAACATGACCTAGCCAACGTAAACGCTGCAGCTCAATACGTCTAAGAATGTCGATGTCCGAGAATAGCTGTTACAACTCATGGTTCATTCGACGGCAATATTCACCGTCAACGCAGATCGGCCCATAGATCTTTCTTAGAATTTTTCTCTAAAACACTCCAAGAGCTGCCTCATCTGCTTGCGCAAGTACTCACGCTTCGGATCCGTATAACAGCACGGATAGTATCAGCGTCTTGTAGAGTGTGAGTTTGGTCTGGCGGGAGGTGGCCTTGCTTTTGAGTTGTTTGCTCAAACCATAGTAGCATCTTTTGACCATCACAATCCTTCTCCGAATTTCAAAACGGATGTCATTCGTTTTTTTATGGCGCTACCATGGTATATAAAATCTTTAACTACCTCGAAGCTGTAGTTCTCAGGTTCCATAGTTGGTCCGAGTCTACTGGACGTCTTGCGCGTTGATACCATCAGCTTGGTCTTCTCGCCGTTTACTGCCAGACCCACTTTGGTAGACTCCTTCTCAATTTGTTCAAAGGTGGCTGTTACCGCTCGCAATGGTATGGTTCAATAATGTCATTGACCATTGTCTTCAGTCGTTCACACAGTACGCTGGATAGCACTTTATATGCAATGGGAAGGAGACTTATTCCTCTATAGTTAGCACATATCGTCTTGTCTCCTTTTTTGAGCACGGGACACAGGATGCTGAGGTTCCAATCATTATACCCTACACAACTATTTTGTCAAGGTATTATAGCTCTGTGCAGCCCGAAGAGTTTGTAACGCCGCGAAATATTGGTCCTAGACCCACCTTTATGTATACCTATCGTCATATCGCGCCTAGCTGAGTCGATGTAGACATGTGTGTCCGTCCGTCTGTCCATTATATTTTGTAAACACGATACATGCCACAGTTATGGCACAATCTTCACGAAATTTTGCATGTAGGATGGGTTTTGCCCAATGAAGACCCCTATTGGGGATGATATGGACCAAATACTTAATTTTTATCGTTTTTTCTGGTCGCTCTAGAGGCCGCAATTATGACCCAAACATTGCGAATTTTTACATTGAGAAGGGGATCGGGTCAAATGGACCCTGACTTTTGTGTAAAAAATTACAAAAATTTTAATTCTATAGCGTATAGATTCGCACCCGAAGGACATAGACCCGAAAAGTTGTTGGTATATCCAAGGGCAGTGGTTGGCCTTTAAATTGATACCAATTATATGGTCGTATGTACTCAGATGTGGGAGTTACACTTAAACATTTACATGTGCATGTGTATTCAGATATTATTTAGTAAACCTTTACCACACTAGAGGGCGGAAATAAATGATCGCTTTAAAATGTTCCATGAAGTGTTTTTTCTAGTCGATCTAGGCTCCAATGGGAATAAGAAGATCACAACACAAGGGATGGGAATCTGGACAAGTAATTAGAAAGGTTGTACTGAACATTAGTAATAATTGTCGGTCTCTAGATGGTCCAGATGGTTCAAATATCGCGAAATATTGCCCAAGCTCAGAATTTAAATCCACAGAATGTTAGTTTTTCGTGGAAGTTGTGTATGGTATCATATGGACGGCCCCGTCCGACTATACTGCTCCGCTCACTGGTTGTGCATGCATTCATCTAGCCAAATTTTACTAATCAGCTGACGCATGCTACTGACCAGCATCTGACCACCAGTCTTGAATAGTTCGGTTGGTAACCTGTCGGCACCTGCCGCCTTATTTTTGTTTGTTTTTCTTGTTCTTTCTTCCTTTTTCTGAAAATACGTTTCTCCTCTCTACTTTTCTCCCGATAGTTCTGCATCGCTTTACGTGTTGCTACTGTCCGCAGGATTGCCCTATACGCTGCGTTTTCAATATAGACATAAACCAGGCCCCATATTAAGGCCCCGATCCAATTTCAAAACACGAAGGGTTTTAATTTTATATCTTGGATTTTCCATCCCTGGGGAATAAAAAATCCGTATCAGAAAATATTCTATAAAAGTCTATGTTTTTAAAAATTTCCCGTACAAAGTTTCGTCTGTTATTTGGTATTTTTCTCAGAGCATAATCAACCTAAAGGTCCAGCCAGATTTAGGGAACTTTGAATATACAGCATAGGGTGTATGGTATAAAAGGTTTGGCTCGATCCAACTTAAGGATGTTTTTTTTTTCATTGCAGATGTTTGTAACGACAATGAACCATCATCACGCAAGAAGTCTCATCAACCGATACTATCCACCTCAATGGATCAATGTTATCAAATATTGCTATTCTTTGATCAGACAAACAAGGTTCACGAAATTTATCGATGTACATAATTAATACCCCCATGATTCCATGTTAACTTCCCAATTCATATGAAATTTCAAATCTCAACCAATGCCGGCACAAGTTTGCCATGTCCACAATGATGAGCTCATCATTGTGGACATGTCTATGATTGGTACTCTTTGTCCTTATGAGACCATTTGTCGTATAATTCAGCTAAGCAGGACAGTTGCTCTCTGTAGCCGTCTTTGATTTTTTCCTCAAGATTTTCAATATTTGTACGGTTACATATAAGTCATTCTTTTATTTAATTTTTTTTGTATTCCATAATCTAACATCAAATTCTCTCTCTTCTTTTTCCAGGAATTAAAGAAAAACAATGTGAATACTGTGGTTCGCGTCTGCGAGCCCAGCTATAACACAGAAGAATTGGAAGCACAAGGCATCACCGTTAAAGATTTAGCATTCGAAGATGGTACTTTCCCGCCGCAGAATGTTGTTGACGAATGGTTTGAGATTTTAAAACAGAAGTAAGTATTCATCAGCCCCTAACTATGTCTTATTTCAAAGTTCCCGGTTTTATTTGTTACGCAAAAAAAAAAAAAAACAATTGGCTTTGTTTTCAAAAAAAATCAAAAGCTTGTAATTTCCTCTTCCTTCCTAAATTTTTTCTTATTGTAAATTTTTTGTAATTTTTTTAATGTTGTTAGAAAATCGTTTAGGATTTTTTATCTAAATTTTCAAGTTGTTGCTTTTGTAAATAAATTTATTTGTGTTATATATCTGTAAAAAAATCTCCTTCTGAATCGAGGTTAGCCATGAGGGTCTGAGAAGACTTCTGCATTAAAAAATTCAGGATTTTCTAAGATTTTTCATCGACTGATTTGAATTGAATATTTGACTATCTGTCAAATATTTCAAAGTTTAACACAATACACACCTCCCCAGTTAGGCCCTAAACAACCTATCAAATATGTCATCTATGTGATTCGATAGCAGTACCTCTTCATATTTTCTTTTTATTATGACCTGACATATCAAAGAGATCTCTATCGAAATAAATTCCTTAAATTACGAAATTGTTGGTCAGTTGCTATGTGCCTTAAAAATAATCTCTAGAAGTATTTTTATTGTTCAGTTCAGACCAGTTCGAATAATCAGTGTTATTTATGTTTGACGTGCCCTGCCACCACCTTATCATTCATCCACCATCGCCCATACTAAATCAAACAGAAAAAAAAAATCCCATAAAAAAATCAAAGCGCTTCTACTACACCTTGTTCTTCACGGTATTTAGATAACGCTCCGTTGTCTCATCCGACACCTGCTTACTTGCATGCCCGCTCTTCCTATCTTCTGGATACAATCATCATCTCCACTTGAAAATTTATATTTTTAAACAAAAAAATGTTTTCCCCCCGATAAGATAGTAGCGAAATATTTGAAGTGTCAGATTAGCCAGAGTTTTATAGCTTCGAGAAGTGTGAGATACTGAAACAACAGAAACACCTTTGGCCCTTGAAAAAATATTTTTAAAAAATCCACGCATTTGTTGGAGCCTTAAAAAAATATTTTTAAACCAGTGAGGGGAACAGTATAGTCGGCCAGGCCGACCGACCATATTATACCCTACACACCTGTCACGAAAATCAAATTTTCTGTGGTTTTATATTCTTGGGCTTGGGCAATATTTGGCGATAGTTGCGCACCCTCTTGACCGACTAGAGGTCAACAAATATTGCTAATATTCAGTACAGCCCTTCTAATTACTTGTCCAGATTCACTTCATCGTGGGTTCTGTTGTGATGTTCGGCTTTCTATTATGGCCTATAGATCGACTCAAAAAAGACACAAAAAATTAAGTTTTCGGTCCACTTTATCCCAATATTATTATCTGATCATCACCGAAAAATATAGGCATTGTCCTTGACCATAACTGGAACCTCATGGAATATTTCAAAGCGATCAGCGCTATATTTCCCGCCTCCAGAGTGCGGTAATGGTGCATCAAACTCCCAATATTGGTTCGATTTTGCACAGAGTACTGAATTAGGTATAGATTGATATGTGCCAAGTTTTTTTTTTTAAATCGGTTCAGATCTAGATATAGCTCCTATATATAGTTTCGTCCATAACTGGAACCTCATGGAAAATTTCAAGGCGATCAGCGCTATATTTCCGCCCTCCAGAATGCGGTAATGGGTTACTAAATAATATCTGAATACGTAAGCACCTGCAAATATTTACGTGTAACTCCCACATCTGAGTGCATACGACAATGTAATTGGTTTCAATTTAAAGGTCAACCGGGTCTATGTCCTAGAATAGAAATGTTGTCATTTTTAACACAAAAGTCCGGGTCCATTTGATCACTTCACTTTTATAAATATTGACAGATCTTTATCAAAACTTACTTACTTAGCTGGCTTGTGACAGCCGAGCTTGGAAAAGATTTCCAGGCGCGTCGGTCTTTTGCGCAGTTTTTTCAATTTGAAAGACCATTTCAGCGATATTGTCTTCGACTTGATCTTTCCGTACGTATTCTTGGCCTTTTCCTTCTGCGCGAACCATCAGCTGGTTCACTTTTATATGCCTTCTGGGCTGGGCCATCTTCATCCATTCTCACAACATGACCTAGTCAACGTAGTGGCTGCAGCTCAATACGTCTAACAATGTCGATGTCCGAGAATAGCTGGTACAACTCATGATTCATTCGACGGCGATCGACCCATAGATCTTTCGGAGAATATTTCTCTCAAACACTCCAAGAGCTGCCTCATCTGCTTGCGTAAGTACCCATGCTTCAGATCCGTATAACAGCACAGTTAGTATCAGCGGATTCAGACACGGTGACAGTTTGTCGTGTGATCTTTTTAACATACTACTGGAAAAGGTCATACGAGACGCAAAGGTGAACAGAAATGACACTCTGTACACCAAACAACACATGTTACTCGCCTACGCCGATGACATCGATATAATGGGTCGAACATTGCGACCCTTGGTACCTTGGTACCTTGGCGGTACCAAGGTATATAAAGTCTTTAACTACCTCGAAGCTGTAGTTCTCAAGTTCCACAGTTGGTCCGAGTCGACTGGACGTCTTGCGCGTTGATATCATCAGCTTGGTCTTTTCGCCGTTTACTGCCACACCCACTTTGGCCGACTCCTTCTCAATTTGTTCAAAGGTGGTGGTTGGCGCTCGCAATGTTCGACCCATTATATCGATGTTATATGGCCGTACTTTATCAAAGCAGGCATACCTATTCTTTGGTCCCATCCCCTTCTCCATGTAAAAATTCGAGATATTTGGGTCAAAATTGCGGCCCCTGGAGCGTCCAGACAAAAATAAAGTATTTGGTCCATTCCATCCTCTAAATATTAACCGATCTTTACCAAAAACAAAATAGGGGTCTTCATTGGCCAGAACCCATCCTACATGCAAAATTTCGTGAAGATCGTGTTTACAAATTATAATGGACAGACGGACGGACGCACACACATGTCTAGGGTCTAGGATCAATATTTCGCGGCGTCACAAACTCCTGGGGCTGCACAAAGCCTGACAACATAGTTGTGTAGGGTATAAAAATCCACGTCTTTTGGAATACCCTAAAAATAATTTTTGAAAAATCCAGGCCGTGTGGTAGAGTCTAAAAAATAAAATTCATGCCTTGTTATAGAGCCATCCATTTTAGGTTTTGCGCAATATGGCGTTTTCTACACAGGGCCCCCACTGTCACAGAGACTTGCAAGGGAAATCGGGAAAATCCGTTAGGCGAAGGCCTAAAGTGTATATATTCTGAAAGAACTTCTCGGGACCTTTCAACTGATGTGGGTCTCTATACTGCATCCATTTCAGGTTTTGTGCAATATGGCGTTTTCTACACAGGGTCCCCACTGTCACTAAGTCTTGCAAGGGAAATCGGGAAAATCCATTTTAGGTTTTGCGCAATATGGCGTTTTCTACACAGGGTGCCCACTGTCACTGAGACTTTCAAGGGAAATCGGGAAAATCCGTTAGGCGAAAGCATCTCTTTCGGTATTTATTCTGAAAGTACTTCTCGGGACCAATTCAACTGATGTGGGTCTCCATACTGCATCCATTTTAGTTTTTGTGCAATATGGCGTTTTCTACACAGGGTCCCCACTGTCACAGAGACTTGCAAGGGAAATCGGGAAAATCCGTTAGGCCAAAGTCCCTTTTTCGGCATAAAGTGTATATATTCTGAAAGTTCTTCTCGAGACCTTCCACATGATGTGGGTATCCATACTGCATCCATTTTGTGCAATATGGCGTTTTCTACACAGGGTCACTGTCACTGAGACTTGCAAGGGAAATCGGGGAAATCCGTTGGGAGAAAGTCTCTTTTTCGGCATAAAGTGTATTTATTCTGAAAGTACTTCTCGCGAACTTTCAACTGATGGAAGTCGGGAAAATCCGTTAGGCGAAAGTCTCTTTTTCGGCACAAAGTGTATATATTCTGAAAGTACTTCTCGGGACCAATTCAACTGATGTGGATCTCCATACTGCATCCATTTTAGGTTTTGAGCAATATGGCGTTTTCCACACAGGGTCCCCACTGTCACTAAGACTTGCTAGGGAAATCGGGAAAATCCGTTAGGCGAAAGTCTCTTTTTCGGCATAAAGTGTATATATTCTGAAAGTACTTCTCGAGACCAGTACTGATGTGCATACTGCATCTATTTTAGTTTTTGTGCAATATGGCGTTTTCTACACAGGGTACCCACTGTCACTAAGTCTTGCCAGGGAAATCGGAAAAATCAGTTAGACGAAAGTCACGGTATTAAGTGTATATATTCTGAAAGTACTTCTCGAAACCTTTCAACTGATGGGGGTCTCAATGGGCGTTTTCTACACAGGGTCCCCACTATCCAAGGGAAATTGGGAAAATCCGTTAGGCGAACGGATCTCTTTTTCGGCATAAAGTGTATATATTCTGAAAGTACTTATTGGGACCTTTCAGCTGATGTGGGTCTCCATACTGCATCTGGCCTTGAAAAAATATTTTTCAATATCCTGCTTTGCAATTTTCCAACTCATTTTTTCTCGCTTTTAATTTTTCATTATTTCTAATTTTTAACACCATACTACTAATCAAATTTACTTATTTTGTTAATACACACACACACACTCCAACTCTACTAAAATATACAGTTACTAAAAACAACTACCAAAACATGTATCTTGTGTGTCCTTTTCTATATCCTTTTTTGTTCGTTGTTGTTTTATTTGTTATTGTTGCTGATTGCCCAGTTCTTTTTTTGTTTGTAATGTTCGTTCCTCTGTTTTTGATTGATTGTTTATTGGTTTGAATGATGCTGTTGATTTCTTCTTACCGCTACCACCCTTTACTTCTTCTTCTTCTATTTTTTTCTTCTTCTTCTTCTTTATCTTTTGTAGTTTTAGTAAGAAATCCTCCTCCTCCTCGCGTGCATCCTTTTTGAGAAACAAACGTTTTTCACTGCGACATTCGTTCCGATTCCATAAATCTTCTGCCGATAATACCAATAACAATACAAACGACAACAACACCAACACCATCACAACTACCAACTCCACCACCAACACCACCACAACCAATACCAAGAATTCCTCTTCTAATACTACTACTACAACAACATCGACAAGTCCAACATCGACTACTACCTACAACACAATTAATAATATGCAATATCAAAATTTAAATAATACCCTAATTCACGATGAAAAAGATTCAGCCAATAATAGTAGGAGGTAAGGTTTTATCGTTTCGTTTTTGCGTTGTGGTCGTTTTTTTGAAAAAATGTTCTTTTTTTATTTTGATTTTGCCTTTTGAGCTATCTTTTCATTATTTTTTTCTTCATTTCTTGTCATTGTTGTACTTTTTTTTAAATGTCTACTTAAAATATTCTTTAAAAATCCAGGCTTAGATGTAGCCCTTGGAAAAATGTTATTTAAAAATCCAAGCCTAGATGTAGCCCTTGGAAAAATGATCTTCAAAAACGTCAGCCTAAAAGTAGGTCTTGAAGAATGTTCTTTAAAAAAAATCACGCCTAGAAGTAGGCCTTGAAAAAATATGTTTTAAAAATCCACCCGTAGAAGTAGGCCTACACAAATATTTAAAAAAAAGTGAGCGGAGCAGTATAGTAGGCCGACCCTACACAACTACTACGGAACTCTAACTTTCTACAAATGTTTTTTCCGACCATGGGCAATATTTCGTGATATTTACACCCTCTTACCCGATTAGAGGTCAACAACACCTCTTCCTTACACTGACATATTTTCCGAATATTACTAATATTCAGTATAGCGCTTCTAATAATTTTTCCAGATTCCCTTCGCCGTGGATTGTATTGTGATGTTTGGCTTATAATTGTGGCCTATAGATCAAAAAACACAAAAAATTAAAGTTTTCGGTCCATTTCATCCGAAAATTACTATCTGATCATCACCTAAAATGATAGGCGTTTTCCTTGACCATAACTGGAACTTCATGGATAAATTTCAAAGTGATCAGGGCTATATTTCCGGCCTCTAGTGTGGTAATATCTGAATACGCCCTGTAAATATTTAAGTGTAACTTCCACGTCGGAGTACATACGACCATATAATTGGCATCACTTTAAAGGTCAACCACTCCTCTTGGATATACTATCAACTTCTCGGGTCTATGTCCTTCAGGAGTAAATATATACGCCATAGAATACAAATTTTGTCATTTTTGACACAAAAGTCAGGATACATTTGACCCGATAAATATTGACCAATCTTTATCTAAAGAGGCATGCTTATTCTTTAGCCCGACCCCCTTCTCCATGTAAAAATTCGCGATGTCGCGGCCTCTAGAGCGACCAGAAAAACCAACAAAAAATCAGTATTTGGTCCATATCATCCCCTAAATATTAACCAATCTTTACCAAAAAAATAGTGGTCTTCATTGGCCAGAACCCATCCTATATGCAAAATTTCGTGAAGATTGGTCCATAACTGTGACCTGTATCGTGTTTACAAATTAAATTGGACAGGCGGACGGACGGACACACATGTCTAGATCGTCTCAGCTAGTCCAGATATAACGATCGGTATACTTAAAGGTGGGTCTATGACAAATATTTCGCGGCGTTACGAACTTTTGGCGCTGCACAAAGCTATAATGCCCTATAAAAAAATATATAGAGTCTATGGTGCACCATTCACCTTAAATCGGACGAAAATATATATGGGAGCTATATCTAAATCTTATCCGATTTTCACGAAACTTAGAACACATCATTCTAAGCTTAATTCAGTATGCTGTGCCAAATTTCGTGCTAATCGAAAGATATTTAGGGACTTTGGTGCACCATTTACCTGAAATCTGACGAAAATATATATGGGAGCTATTTTTAAATCTGAACCGATTTTCACGAAACTTAGCACACATCATTCTATACTTAATTCAATATGCTGTGCCAAATTTCGTGCAAATCGAAAGATATTTAGGGACTTTGGTGCAACATTTACCTTAAATCGGGCGAAACTATATATGGGAGCTATATCTAAATCTGACCAGATTTGCGCGAAACTTAGCACACATCATTCTAAGCTTAATTCAGTATGCTGTGCCAAATTTCGTGTTAATCGAAAGATATTTAGGGACTTTGGTGCACAATTCACATTAAATCGGACAAAAATATATATGGGAGCTATATCTAAATCTGAACCGATTTTCACGAAACTTAACACACATCATTCTATACTTAATTCAGTACGCTATGCTAAATTTTGTGCAAATCGAAAGATATTTAGGGACTTTGGTGCACAATTCACATTAAATCGGACGAAAATATATATGGGAGCTATATCTAAATCTGAACTGATTTTTCTCAATTTCAATAGGGTTCGTCCTTGGGCCAAACAAATAAGCTGTGCCAAATTTCATCCAATTCGGATCATAAATGCGAACTGTACTTTGTTTACAATTTAAGATGGACAGGCATACATAAATCGACTCAGAAAGTGTTTCTATGTATATTCTCAAAAGGAACCATGGGTCTGTCTCGATTATTTTTGCCTGTTACAAACATATGCACAAAGACATAATACCCTGTACCGCAGTGTGGTGAAGGGTATAAATAGACGCCTTTTATAGGAGTTGGAAAAAAATGATTTAAAAAATCCACGCCTTGTTTAGGCCTGGAAAAAAATGATTTAAAAATCCACGCCTTGTTTAGGCCTGGAAAAAAATTATTTAAAAAATCCACGCCTTGTTTAGGCCTGGAAAAAAATATTTAATAAATCCAAGCCTTGTTTAGGCCTGGAAAAAAATTATTTAAAAAATCCACGCCTTGTTTGGGCCTGGAAAAAAATTATTTAAAAAATCCACGCCTCGTCTAGGCCTGGAAAAAAATGATTTAAAAAATCCACGCCTCGTCTAGGCCTGGAAAAAAATTATTTAAAAAATCCACGCATTGTTTAGGCCTGGAAAAAATTTCTTTAAAAAATCCACGCATTGTTTAGGCCTGGAAAAAATTTCTTTAAAAAATCCACGCCTCGTCTAGGCCTGGAAAAAATTATTTAAAAAATCCACGCCTTGTTTAGGCCTGGAAAAAAATTATTTAAAAAATCCACGCCTTGTTTGGGCCTGGAAAAAAAAATATTTAAAAAATCCACGCCTTGTTTGGGCCTGGAAAAAAATTATTTAAAAAATCCACGCCTTGTTTGGGCCTGAAAAAAAAATTATTTAAAAAATCCACGCCTTGTTTAGGCCTGGAAAAAATTATTTAAAAAATCCACGCCTTGTTTAGGCCTGGAAAAAAATTATTTAAAAAATCCACGCCTTGTTTGGGCCTGGAAAAAAATTATTTAAAAAATCTACGCCTTGTTTGGGCCTGGAAAAAATTATTTAAAAAATCCACACCTTGTTTGGGCCTGGAAAAAAATTATTTAAAAAATCCACGCCTTGTTTAGGTCTTGGAAAAAATTTCTTTAAAAAATCCACGCCTTGTTTAGGCCTGGAAAAAAATTAGTTAAAAAATCCACGCCTTGTTTAGGCCTGGAAAAATTTCTTTAAAAAGTCCGCGCCTAAAAATAGGCTATGAAAAATATCAGAAAAAAATATTATCCTTTATTTTAAGTATTACCCTGTCCTCTTGATATCTTTGTGTCATGTTTTACCACGTTTTTTGTGTGTTTTTTTAATTCCAAATATTTTTTTTTCTTTTTTCCAGATATCAACAGAATCCCGAAGCTTGTGTTGCTGTGCACTGTGTCGCTGGTCTCGGCCGTGCACCCGTTTTGGTGGCATTGGCACTCATTGAGTTGGGTCTGAAATATGAGGCAGCTGTTGAAATGATAAGGGAGTGAGTATTTCGAATTCTTTTCTTTTTATTATTTTCTCTAATCGGTCTCTTTTTCTTTTTCTTTATTTTGTAGCAAGCGACGAGGAGCCATCAATGCCAAACAGTTATCATATTTGGAACGCTACAAGCCCAAGGCAAGGCTAAAGCACAAAAATGGCCATAAAAATTCATGTTGCGTGCAATAGATTTCCAAAATAATAATCATAATAATAATAATAATGAAAGTAACAGATATAAAACAAAATAACCATATATTTAAAAAAAGAAAGAAAAAAATAAATTCCCACCAGTTGAAAAGTGTTCATTTTTTTAATTTAAAACAAAAAAACAACTACAACAACAAACAAACAACAAGAAGATGAAGAAGAGAAAGAAAAAATGGAAATGAAAACTACCACAACTACTGTGCTATCACATTCTGCTACTCTCTCTCTCTCTCTCTACAACCACAACAAGGTCTGCAACAATAATTGGAGAACTAACTAGGAAGCCAAACCAAGCCAAGCAATCGGGAAAATTGATCAGCAACAAGGCTTATTTTCATACACACCTTCCTCCGGCCAAAGATATTTTGATGACTCTGCCAAGGAACTTTGTAAAATATTCAATTGCTGAGCATGAGGACCACGAAGATGATGTTGCAGGAACAGCCGCTATTTAAATTTTTAATATGACCATGATAATGTTTGGAAAATCGTGTATAGACGACTTCTTGTTCTGTTTAGTCCTGGAACTCTTTGACTTTTTCATTCAACTTCCTTCCTTGCCCACTAATCCAAAAATTACAAAAATTGTTAATATTCCTCAAGAATTAAAAATGTAATTGAATTTAGTTTGGATTTAATTTTCCCCATAATCCAATTCTCTCCTCCTCCCCCCTTTGACCTTTAAAAATGATAATGATGATTTGACTTTATAAAAGGACAACACCATTAAAGGCAATATATAAACCAACAACAATAACAACCCAAACCAATTTTTACAAGATTTCACCGTAGTTCTATTTTTGTTTTGTTTTCTCTTGAAACTTTTCTAACCGGTGATCCACAATCCCCCAAAAAACTCCCCTCTTGTGTTTAAAAAATCACAGATACAGCCCATACCCAAACGGAACCCTTACTCTAAAGTCTACTCTAAACAAGCATGTAGACAATGGGGGTCCGAAACACACCCCACACTTCTCTGCAATGTGAATAAAAAAAAGAAATGGAAAACTCTAAATTATTTTCAAAATATATTTTTTTGTAATAATTATAAATACATATATGATTTTTTTTTTAAATAAGACAACCGTAACTCTTATATGTCTCTGTAGTTTTTAATTAATTTTATTCTATTTTTTTGTTAAATGATTTTTTTTTGTAATTGTAATTTTTTTTATTATTTGCAAAAAAACATAGTTAATGATAATTTTTTTGAATGATATGATAATAACGAAATGATAATGATTATGATATGATGATAATAAGTTGATATCCATACAGTATATAAAAATAACAAAAACAACAACAACATGAAAACACATGAAAAAAAAAAACAAAATAAAAATTTTAAAATAATGTAATTTTTTAATATACAAACTGGTACGAATGAAACGAAATTATTAGGGAAGATGGCATGTTAATTGTATTTTTGGGAAGGGGAAAAACAGTCTGTATAAAATCCCCAACTTGCGTGGCCCTTAAAAAATTTTCTTTAAAAACTTCACGACTTGTTTAGATCCTTAAAAATGTTAGTTATAAAATCCATGTCTTATGTAGGTCCTTAAAAATTTTATTAAAAGAATCCTCACCTTGTTGTTGCCCTCGAAAAAATATTCTTAAAAAATCCTCACCTTGTTGTTGCCCTCGAAAAAATATTCTTAAAAAGTCCTCAATTTGTGTAGGTCTTGAATAAATATTCATTAAAAAAATCCTCACCTTGTGTAGGTCGGAAACAAATATTCATTAAAAAAAATACTCACCTTGTTGTTGCCCTCGAAAAAATCTTCTTAAAAAGTCCTCAAATTGTGTAGGTCTTGAACAAATATTCATTAAAAAGTCCTCAAATTGTGTAGGTCTTGAACAAATATTCATTAAAAAATCCTGATTTTGTCGTGACCCTTAAAAATATTCTTAAAAAAATCCTCAACTTGTTGTGGCCCCTAAAAAAATCTTTAAAAAATCCACGCCTTGTGTAGATCCTTAAAAAATATTCTTTGAAAAATCCACGCCATGTTTAGATCCTTAAAAAATATTCTTTAAAAAATCCACGCCTTGTGTAGATCCTTAAAAAATATTATTTAAAAAAATCCACGCCTTGTTGTAGCCCTTAAATTTTTTTTAAATCCACGCCTTGTGCAGATCTTTTAAAATATTCTTTAAACAATCCTTACATTGTCGTGACCCTTAAAATTATTCTTAAAAAATCCTCACCTTGTTGTGGTCATTAAAAAATTCTTTAAACAATCCTTACCTTGTTGTGGCCCTTAAAAAATATTCTTTAAAGAATCCACACCTTGTGTATGTCCTTTAAAAAATTATTCTTTAAAAAATCTACAATATCGAAATTTAGAAGGTACCGTTATAAGGGAGCTCTACCTAAAAAGTGGACCAATATTAATAATTTTTAATACGACGATTTGCTACCCAGATGAGAACCCAATATACAAAATTACAGTCAATTCGGTTCAAAAACGTGTCCGAAATCCTCAAAATATCGAATATTTAAGGTACCGTTATATGAGAGCTACCCTAAAAAGTGGACAGATACTCATTATTTTCGTTAGGACAATTTGTCACCTAATGAGAACCCAAAATACCAAATTATAGCCAATTCGGTTGGAAAACGTGTCTTAAATACCCAAAATACCGAATATTGAGGGTAGTGTATAAAGGAGGCTCTATGAAAACATGGACCGAAATTGATTATTTTTGGTATGAAGATTTGTTACCTAATGAGAATCCAAAATGCAAAATTACAGCCAATTTGGTTCCAAAACGTGTCCGAAATCCTCAAAATACCGAAAATGTAAGGTACCCGTTATATGAGAGCTACCCTAAAAAGTGAACCGATACTCATTATTTTCGGTATGAAGTTTTGCCACCTAATGAGAACCCAAAATACCAAATTACAGCCAATTCGGTTGGAAAACGTGTCTTAAATTACCCAAAATACCGAATATTGAGGGTACTGTATAAAGGAGGATATATGAAAATATGGACCGAAATTCATTATTTTTGGTATGAAGATTTGTTACCTAATGAGAACTCAAAATACAAAATTACAGCCCATTCGGTTCAAAAACGTGTCCGAAATCCTTAAAATACCGAATATTGAGGGTACCGTTATATGGGCGCTACCTTAAAAAGTGGACCAATATTCATAATTTCTGGTAGGAAGATTTCCCAACCAAAGAGAACCCAAAATCCCAAATTACAGTCAATTCGGTTGGAAAACGTGTTTTAAATACCCAAAATACGGAATATTGAGGGTATTGCAGTATAAAGGAGGCTCTATGAAAACATGGACCGAAATTGATTATTTTTAGTTCGACGATTTGTTACCTAATGAGAACCCAAACTACCAAATAACAGGCAATTCGGTTCAAAAACGTGTCCGAAATCCTCAAAATACCGAAAATTGAGGGTACCGTTATGTGGGCGCTACCTTAAAAAGTGGACCAATATTCATAATTTTTGGTAGGAAGATTTCCCAACCAAAAAGAACCCAAAATTCCAAATTACAGCCAATTCGGTTGAAAAATATGCCCAAGCTCCCCAAAATACCAACATTTGAGAGGTACCGTCAAAGGGAAGCTGCCTTAAAAAGTCGACCAATATGGATAATTTCTGGCACGAAGATTTTCCACCCTATGAGAATCCCAAATACCAAATTACAGCCAATTCGGTTGAAAAACAAGCCAAAAATCCACAAAATACGGTATAATGGAGGTATCGGACAAGGGGACATTATCACAACATAGACCTATATTGACAACTATTGGTAGGGAAATTCTCAACCCAATGAGTGTACACAACACGAAATTACTGTCAGATCGATTGAAAAAGGTTGGGCCATTAAATGTCGGCTTATTAAAGCTCCTGAACTATTCTCTAAAAAAATCCACACTTCGTATAATTTTTCCGGTAGATTTTCGATACACATAAAAACTACATTATTTCACCCATCCCATACTGAAAATTGCATCCAAATATCTCCATTCGTTGCCGAGTTATAGTCATTTGAAATGAACCTTGGAACAAAACATAGCTGCTACACGGTTCTGTTGGCCTGGTATGGCAAATGTGAAAATCGACAAAATCGCAACTCCAATAAATAAACCAAAAACGTGCAGGTGTGTTGCCATATTGTTAGCATGCTTTGTGCATGCATGTGTGTGACAAATTACTGAGCATACTTTTAGGCGTTACATTAATAGATGCGACTGACTGTTAATGTAACGCCTAAAAGTATGCTCAGCATTTGCAAACAAACAAAACATGCATGCACAAAGCATGCTAAGAATATGGCAACACACCTGCACGTTTCTGGTTTATTGGAGTTGCGATTTCTTCGATTTTGCCATTTGCCATACCAGGACAACAGAACCGTGTAGCAGCTATGTTTTGACACAATGTTCATTTCAAATGGCTATAACTCGACAATGAATAGAGATATTTGGATACAATTTTCACTATTGGATGGGTGAAATAATGTAGTTTTTATGTGTATCGAAAAATTACCGGAAAAATTATACGAAGTGTGGATTTTTTTAGAGAATAGTTCAGGAACTGTAATTAACCGCCATTTAATGGTCCAACGCTTTTCAAGCGAATTTGTGGTAATTTCGTGTTGTGGACACTCATTGGTTTGAGAATTTCCCTACCAATAATTGTCAATATCGGTCCATGTTGTGAAAAAGTCCCCTTGTTCCGATATCCCCATTATCCGGTATTTTGTGGATTTTGGGCTTGTTTTTCAACCGAATTGGCTGTAATTTGGTATTTGGGGTTCTCATTGGGTGGAAAATGTTTCTACCAAAAATTATTCATATTGGTCCACTTTTTAAAGTAGCTCCCATATAACGAAACTTCTCATATTTCGATGTTTTGGGGAGCTTGGGCACCTTTTTCAACAGAATTGCCTGTAATTTGATATTTTGGGTTGTCATTAGGTAACAAATCTTCATACCAAAAATAATAAATTTCGGTCCATGTTTT